GAGTTGGGAGGTAGGAAAAGATGATTATTGTAATGGACCAGACAATCATGAATGAGTCACTGTGGCCCTTCCTTGCCCTTGCTAATGTGTTGAATCAACTGTTGTCCTTATTGATTGCAATTCATCCTGAACAGCTTGCAGAAATGAAGAGTGACGGACTGACAAGGCTAACAAAGACTCTTGTGCCTCATCTAGTTCATCTTTGTCTTGGCATGGCAGGGCATCAGCTGCTGTATTGAGTCTCCTAAATTTGTATTCCACATCAAATTTGAATCCCAATTCTCAATAGTTTGATCACCCAGTGTTGTTGAAGTGTGGTTGTGAGGGGTTGCATCAGTAGGCACTTAAGACTGTGGCACACCGCTTGGGCTAATCCGATGAGCTCCTGTTCATAAACACGAAGTTTGATGTGACGATTGGCCATCTTGTGACTAAAGAAGGTAACTGATTGATTTTCTTGCTGCAGAAAAGTCTGGCAGCCATAAAACAGGGGCAGCAGAGAGGTCCGCCTTGAGAATTTGGAACGATTCTATGGCCACATCGGTCCACTGGAAGGACTTCTGTTTCTGCATTGCAGTAGCGGGTGCCGCAATGGTCCCATAGTCCTTTATAAATTTATGATAAAATCCAGAAAGATCGCGGAACCCCCACAATGCATGAACTGTTATAGGTTTTGGCCATTGTCGGTTTGCCGGTACCTTCTCTCCGTCCATTGTGACTCCTTCGGGAGTGATGATGTGTTCAAGATAAGCAACTTTAGTTTTGCCAAATTAACATTTCGCCTTGACATATAGCTGATGCTGTTGCAACAAGTCAAAAGACAATTTGAGATGATGAAGGTGCTATACCCAAGTTTTACTGTACACGAATATAATCAACGAGAACTAAAACAAATTTGTGTTGAAAGTCTTTGAATACCTCATTCATCACAGATTAAAAGGTGACCAGTGCATTGCATAAACCGAAGGGCATCACTAAAAATCAAAGTGCCTCTCAGGTGTACGGAATGCAGTTTCTTCAATATCTTCAGGATGCATACATTTGGTGATAGCCAAAGCGTAAATCAAGTTTGGTGAAGAACTTAGCTCCATGAAGTTCATCAAGTAGTTCATCAATGAGGGGAATGGACAATTTATCTTCGATTGTAATAGCATTAAGCTCTTGGAAATCAAAACAAAATCTCCAAGTTTTGTTATGTTTGATTACGACCAGCGCTGGGGAAGAAAGAGGTGAATGACTAGGTTAGATGAAGCATTTCGCTGAACAAACACTTAAACTTGTGTCCTGGTGCATACGTCCTATCACATTTATAATACAAACCCTTTGATCTCCTGTCTGCCATTTCACTTTGGGACAACTTCAAAATATATGGGCTCTTGGAAACAGGTGCTACTGAATTGGGATGTTTTCTTTTGGACTGAAATTTGCTGGTCTGGTCTGGTCTGTTTAAGTCTGGTCTGGTCTGAACTGGTCTGGTAAACGTCTGGTCTCTGTTTATTTTATAACTATCCAAGTCTGGTCTGGTCTGTTTAAGTCTGGTATGGTCTGATCTGGTCTAGTTTGGTCTGGGACTGAAAACAGTCCAAAAGAAAACATCCTTGATTGATGTTGGCATACCGTATGGTGGGGTCACGTATAGGTTGAGATCATGTTGGAGCAGTTATGATTTGCTGTAGATGTTTGTTATTATAGGGTGGATAATGGGACTTCTCATACCAATGTGGGATGATTCGACCTTTAGCATTGAATGAATGATACATTCCTTGGTCGGACCTACCAACGTCGCAGATAATTAAAATAATTAGTACTGATGTTTTAATTCGTGTGTGTTAGTTAAAATAATTAGTATTGTTGTTTTAATTCGTGTGTTAGTTTTTTTAATCACGGGTTAGTTGTTGGATATTTATAACAAGTGCTTCCTGCACATACTAGCAGTTTAAGATCATGGATCCACTTTCCTAGTTTTTAGGAGTGGTTGTAACTTCCTGTCTCTATTTAAGAGAATGATGATTTGAATAAAAAGCTATCACAAAATTCCACAATTAGTTTAGCCAGGGAGTTTGGAGAACTCAACAACATCTCCTACTGCACTCTTAGATATATGCATTGTTCTTCTTCTTCTTCTTCCAAAACTAATAATCTGCCTCCCTCAACCCGTCTTGTGACGCGATCCCAAACCCGGGCTTGTATCAATGAACGAGCCAGATTCATGGCTACTTCTAGGCTAATAGGGCGTTGTGACTCAACTTCCATCCATAACACTTCGTCAAGTCCAGACGTATACATATCAACCATCTGAAAAAGGCGGATAATGGGACTTCTCATAACAATGTGGGATGATTCGACCTTTGGCGTCGAATGAACGAGCCAGAATCATGGCTACTTGAAGGCTAATAGGGCATTGTGACTCAACGTCCTATTAGCCATCTCAACACTTGATCTGGTCCTCACGAACCGTGGTGGCTTGAGCAAAAAGGGTTTAAAAATTTTCATTATAGCAGGCCAGATGACCCTTATTCTGTTTCAGATTGGCAAATTTCCAAGGGCATTTTCAGTTAATGGTGGGTTAAAATGCATGTTAATGGTGGGTCAAAATGCAGCTTACAACAGTGTTTGAAGCGGTGGCATGGCAAGTTAGGCTCTCTCAACTCTAAGTTGTAAGACCAGAGTTGCGCCTATCAAAACAAGTGGTATGATGCCAAGGAAACCTTGTCACTCTCCAAGGTATTTTTGTTAGGGAAGAGCTGTTCGCATCGATAAAACCAACCAAGCAGATCCTTCTTACCCCTGAACACAAGAAACTCCAAATGAGAATGCTTGAGCAAGATGGTACTAGAGTGTCCATCTCTCCTGTTGTCTAGCATTTCTGTCAAGGGAGGAGGGGCTGTAGCAGAGCAGCTTAGGACTTTGAATTCGAACGGAGCAAGTTAGTGTTAAGAATAGTTTCAAACAACTATTTGAAAGGGATAGCTTATGAATCTATATTATTCTTCCTGATATGTTAGTGTTAAGAATAATGAGATTCATCTTTTAGGCAAAAATCATGACATACATATAGACCCAACCATAATTTAGAATAGTTTTTATATTCATATGTTTGGGTCTATTAAAAATCTAAGGGAAAAGGTGCAAATAGGCCCATGTACTAACCAAAAAAGGTCAAATAAGCCCTTATTTAGGAGGCTTTGTCTGGCCATCGCCATTTGGAGTGGTTCCCAGTGGAATTTTTTGATGAAATTTTTTGAGCATCTTATTTATTAAGTCTAGTTTACTCATACCAAATTTCAGCTAAAACTTCAATCGGGAAGGCATTCAAATGAATTCTTGAAAATAACTGGGCAGTTAGAAGCGCAGTTATCTTCAAGAATTCATTTGAATGCCTTCCCGATTGAAGTTTTAGCTGAAATTTGGTATGAGCAAACTAGACTTGATGAATAAGATGCTCAAAAAATTTCATCAAAAAATTCCACCGGGAACCACCCTAAATGACGACAGCCGGACAGAACTTCCTAAATAAGGGCTTATTTGACCTTTTTTGGTTAGTACATGGGCCTATTTGCACCTTTTCCCAAAATCTAACCCATAAGAATAATTACATTCATATTACTTCTTATCTTAATCATGGATCCACTTTCCTAGGTTTTAGGAGTGGTTGTGACTTCCCATTTCTATTTAAGAGAAGGATGACTTGAATAAAAACGTATCACAAAATTGCCCAATTGTTTAGCAAGGGAGTTTGATGAGAACAGAAAACTAAAAATCAATGGAAGAATCTGTTGCCCAAAGCCACCAAATTGATGAGAACACAAAACTGATAATCAACGGAAAAATCTGTTGCCCAAAGCCACCAAATTGATGAGAACAGAAAACTAATAATCAACTGAAGAATCCGTTGTCCAAAGCCACCAGGCTACAATCCAATTTTATTAACTGATAAAAGAAGAGTGAACCCTAATAAGGGGTTTAAATACCCTTCTACTAATTCCAGAATAGGAATCCTAATTAATTCCAAATAGGAAACAAGAATAAGAAATCCTAATTGACTCCAAATAAGAAACAAAATAATAGAAATCCTAATTAACTCCAAATAGGAAACAAATCAGGAAAATTATAAAAGAATAAAATTAATTAACCAGCCCGCATCTAGCCCACGGAGGTGAGCTCAAGCCTGTCCTGCCTTCGGTGAACTAACAGGGCCTCGGCCTCTCTTCCCTCAAGCCAAACTCTTGCTCTCTATCAGAGTTTGGAGAACTCAACAACATCTCTTACTGCCATTGTTATTCTTATTCTTAAAAACAATATGCACTGTTCTTCCACCCCTGAAACTAATCACCTTTCTTCTTCACACCGCCCTGTGACACAATCTCAAACTCAGGCTTGTAACTGTTTGGCATCAGAGCCCATCGAAATGGGTACCCAAGAACAACTAGACTCAACAGACGCTTCCATGAACAAACACATGCTTGCTCTTGAGGCCCAATGACAATCACTCTTAAAAACTAGGAAAGTGGATCCATGATTAAAATAAGAAGTAAAAACCACTCCTAACGACTAGGAAAGTGGAGCCATGATCTTAAACTGCGAATATGTGCAGGAAGCACCTTTTTTAAATAACACAACAACTAACTCATGATTCAAAACTAACACACAAAAATTAAAAAGACAATTAAAATTTTAATTCAAGCTGCAGCATGCTTCACGGGTCTCTTTTTTGTTTGCGTTGTTGGTAGGTCCTACCAAGGAACGTATAAGTATCTCTACTAGCATTTAAAGTATTTTACTTCCATCGTCCCTAAATAACATTTCTACTATCCTTTTACATCTGTCCCAGAGCCATCACTAATTTATAAGTAAAATGTTTTACTCTCAAATCACTTATTTAGGGGAAAATTTAGAAGTCATAGAGTAAAAATGAATTTATAAAAACTAGTCAAGTCAAACAAAAAACATTTGCATGGGACAGATGGAGTAATTGTGAAAATGTCCAAATAACAACACACCGGGGAATCTGCATCCCAAGTAGAGGTAGCTTCTCCTAGACGGAAAGTTCCACTATAGCCCTTAATCATACCCTGGTATCTGCAAAGAAATATTCTTACTGAATCGCATTTAGCTTAACAAATTTATCACTGTAGAGGAAATGATTTGCTAGCATAGTCATGTTAAGTGAAACATCATTGGTTAAAAATATATCTACTAGGAAATGATTTGTAAAATTACCATCTCGATTGAAAACCTTCATATGAAATCTCAAACTATGAAAACCTAATGGCATAATTTATAACTTAGGTTGACTGACCTATCAACGAGCTTTGTAGCTTTACCAATGCATACAATCAATAAACCAGTGGCCATAGGGTCAAGAGTCCCGGCATGGCCTACCTGCAAGAGGTATATTTAACAGTATATGAAGACGAAAGTGTCATTTATGAAGTCAATAGTTTAAATACTGGATGCAATACCTTTTTCACTTTGGTTAGGCGGCGCAACTTTCCACATACTGTAAATGAAGTCCATCCTGTGGTGATATATACAAAGAACAGAGTATGACATGAGATAACAATTCAAAGGAGTTCACAGCACTAATTAATTCCTAATCTTATATCAGGTAATGAAATTGAAATTGAAATTGAAATTGAAAATTGAGTAAACTTTAAGTACTACACTTTTATCAGCAATCAACTCCCAATTTTAAATTATTAAGGCTAGTTTATGAATCTATACTATTCTTCCTGACATGTTAGTGTTAAGTATATGGTTGGGTCTAGCTCAAACCTAAAAGAGTTCAGAAGAGGTGAAGATTGTCCAATGCTCATTTATCCATTCATATTTAGCTGACGTGTAACACTATTCAGGGTCACTCTTCAACAACACCTGACAACAATTATTTTGATAAGAACACACTGTAAGACACCAATGCCTAACAGCATAGGCCATGCATTTTTTCCCAAAGTGACCTGCATCATGGCTATACATCGGGTAAGCATGGTTTCAATCAAAATTTCCCAACACTTCTTTCAATTAACTTGAAAGTGCAAATATACAGGAAAGTTACAATACACGTGGAACACAACCAATATCATTGCATCAAGAGTTCAATCCACATAAGTACTTCTACAGAATAATACTAGTCATAAGACAATATTGACAATACTAATATAGTAATATATCAATAATCCTATAAGTGAGTCCAGGACTTGAAAATGTAAGTCAACAATAAATGCTCCATGACAGACCTAATTGCAATTAGAAATGAGACAGTACAGAGTGGTTCTGAGATGTGGAATGTAGTTTGACAATACTTAGCAAAACAGATAATGATGCTGTGAAATAATTACATGAAGAAACTCACTCAATTACCAGACTAACCTTTTGGCTTGTTCACTAGAACCACAGTCCCAGCAGGGGTATCCCACTTTGGGGGAAGCCCTCTACCCCTTGAGGAAAAGAAGGGTTCTGCACTAGAAACCCCACTGTCTGTTCCGTTTGGGACTTTATTCAAACTTTTGAAAAATTCCTCAACTTTCTTCTCTGAGATGTCTATTTTCACATCCTTAGTATCATCAATCTCTGTCTTTTCTTTTTTCACCCCATCAGTCTCGAAAAACACCAATCCTCTATCTCCTCCGCTATCTGAATTATCAGCTTTGCTCTCTTCTCTCTTCCCACCTTTCTTGTTTCCTTTCTTGGTACTCTTCTCGTTGGACTGACCAGGCTCAAGGAAAGCCTTATCGAAACACTGATCAGGAAAAAACTTCTTCTCCAATTGATAAACCATCTTGTAATGCTTCTCCTTTTCCCAAGGATAAGCGAATGCATCATAGAAATGCAACTCCTCCTCTTTCTTGTGCAGTGTACGCAGTTCAACAACTTCTTGCTTAAGTTCCACAAATTCACTTCCGTCCCGGCGGCCAGCCTCGTCATCTTCCGAATCCGATCCGAACATCCTTTTCCTTCTCTTGTTGTAATACTTCCTTTTAGCCTTATCCATTCCAGTATCAGGCATCGAAGAAGATGTGGTTGAACTTAACTTCCTGTCGACCCAACCATCGAATCCTTGTTCGGAGTCCGGTTCGGGAGACTCTGTGGGTTTGAGGCGGCGTTGTGCGTTACGGGAGCGATCACGGTGCCGGGAAGGGTCAAGCGGGCGAGATACGATCATATCATATTGAAGTGGATATGGTGTCGAGGTTGTGGAGAAATGTTCGAGGGTGAAAGGTTTTAGCTTTGAGGAAACGGAGATGGAGCGTGGTATAGCCAATGGGGATGAATTTGTGAAGTGGAAGAAAGCAAGCGATATCTTTGACAGTTGCGCCGGTTTCGCCATCGAGGTTGCAGTTCACCTAAGAGGGCGTCACAGACCTTTCCTCAGGCACTTCCCTTCCCGGCTTTCACTTCATGCTCTGAAGAACAAAAATGTTTCTACAATAGTTGGTGTACACCATGCGTTACACGGTGGGTATACCCATTTATTTGCCTTCTCACAAACAAAAACACACAAACAAACAAATACAAACACAAATACACACAAATACCGACAAAGCGTTGGTGTGGTGTGGGTAAAATTAGTTTCTATATCTGTCAGGCTAGTTGCATACTTGCACGGAAACCAATGTCGGTGTACACAGACATTAGTTGTCTATGTGTAAACAAAAAAGTGTCGGTGTGAAAAATTAATTGGAAAACAAGTGTTGGTGTACACAGACGTTAGTTGTCTGTGTAGACAAAAAAGTGTCGGTGTGAAAAAATTAGTTGGAAAACAAGTGTCGGTGTACACAGACGTTAGTTGTCTACGTAGATAAAAAAGTGTCGGTGTGAAAAAATTAGTTGGAAAACAAGTGTCGGTGTACACAGACGTTAGTTGTCTGTGTAGAAACAAAGTGTCGATGTGAAAAAATTAGCTGGAAAACAAGTGTCAGTGTACACAGACGTTAGTTGTCTGTGTACACAAAAAAGTGTCAGTGTGACAAAATTAGTTGGAAAACAAGTGTCGGTGTACACAGACGTTAGTTGTCTTGTATAAAAAAGTGTCTGTATATATACAATTTTCGTCTGTGTACACAGAAACTATAGCAAACTAGTGTCGGTGTGGATAAAACGTAAAAAGTGAGAAAGAAAGAAAAAGAAGAAGATGGTGATGAAGATAATGAAGATGATTAAGGTATATAAAACCTAGAAAAGAGAAGGAAAGAAGAAGAAGAATTAGAAGAAGATGAATGAGAAAGGAAGAAAGAAAGAAGAAAGAACAAGATGTTGAAGAAGAAGAAGAAGAAGAAAAGGAAATAAGAAAGAGAGGAGGGAGGGGGATTCGTATGATTCAAATGGGAGAGGAGTGGAGAGAAAAAAGTTGGGAGGGGAGAAATAAGAAATAGGGGGTTATATAGGATGTACACCAAGGTGTAACCCAAGGTGTACCAAAAGAATTTTTCATGTTTCTAAGGCATATTATCATTTTTTAATACATCGGAAAAGAAAGGCATACAAAAAAACAAGAAATTAAAATTTAATGTTCTCTAGACCATTAGCATCCTCCACAAAAGTAATTTTTATCCATGCAGGAGCCTCCTGGAAAATAGTAAGTCTCGTAGGCGCTCTGCATGAGCTGCATTGGCTAACACATCAACACTTTTATTACCTTCTCCAAAAGTGTGTTGAACCATGACAAACCTTTCATCTTCACGAAGCTTCTGACAGTCCCGATCAAGCACCCCTATACTATTTCCATTCCAACCATCTCTCTTAATAACAACTTTGAGCATGCTCTCCGAATCAAACTCAACGATAACTCTATTCATATCAGCTCCCTCGCTAGCAACAAACCTTGCCTTAAGCCCCAAAATTCTGCTTTAAAACTATCAAATTTCCCAATATTAATACAAAAGCCACTAACCCATTCTCCTTTATGATTACGTATCAGCCAGCCCACCAGTCTTAGCCTCTTTCTCCTTTCCTCGACTAAGGCCATCACAACTAAGTTTAAAATATCCTAGTTCTGGAGGAATCCATTTAACGATTTTAGCCTCTTTACGTTGCTTGATACAATCAAAGTATGTTGTACCTGTATATCCATCTGCTAAAAATTGGGCCTTCCATATAAGCTTGTCCACATTTATTTGTATACCCTAAAAAACCCACCCATTTCTTGATTTCCATATCATCCACGCAGTATATGCAAACATTGAGGCATGTGCAGTTCTACGAGAAACATCACTGGTGGCGTTACAGTTAGGGATGTCAAAAAAAACCGCCCCGCAATGACCCGCCCTGGCCCGAGACATTTGGGGCGAGTCCGCCCCGCCCCGTCTTGCAAATGGGGTGGGTCCGCCCCGTCCCGCCTATACAATGGGGCGGGTCCGGGTCTGGGTGTTAGTATTGACCCGTGCCACCCTGACCCGACCCGCTCAATATATAACTATACATACTTTTTCTTAAATTATACTACAAATATACTTCAACATACATATGTGTGTATACAATAAATCATAATTTTTTTATCTTGTAATGTGTGTGTGTATATATATATATATATATTAGAATGAGATGAACAACGAATTATCAATGTCTTCTTTATATATAGCATTTTAATACATATATTCAATTATTAATATAATTAAATAGATTAACTATTCAAGTATGAGTAATTATTCCTTAAATTTTGAAATATTTAGCGTATCATGAATTTGATTTAATATATTAATTTTTAATTACTCCCTCAGTCCCAAATTGTAAGATACATTTACTATTCACTTGGTCAACATAAATCACTCTTAATCTTTTATTTTATATATCAAAAGTTTATAAAATTTTAATTATTTTTCGCACGCTTTGTAGCGGTTTTAATGTAGTTTCTGAATATGTTAATTTTATTTTTTAGAACTAATTTTAGTGTTGACAGGGATCAATTTGCTTTATCGTCAGTCAAACATCGTAAACCGTAATGTATCTTACAAATTGGGACGGAGGGAGTATTATTTAGAGATAAACTTTATTTAGATTCAATGGGTAACCACTTCCCACAGATAAAAATACATACTGGCAAATTAGGTTACGACGGGGCGGGGCAGGGTGAACCCGCCCCACATGGGGTGGGTCATGGGTCAACAAGTTTGGACCCGTGCAGGTCACGGGGTGGGGCGGGTCCGGGTCTTGCGGTACCCGCCCCGCCCCGACCCATTGCCATGCCTAGTTACAGTGGCTTCGAACCCACTCTAGATTACTTGAGCTAGTATCTCCTATTCTATGACCACCTTGTAAACTCCTCTGCCAAACTGCTCTTGCAAAGGGGCAATCCTAGAGCATATGGAGCACTGTTTCTTCCTCATTATTACATATTGGGCATATTTTATCATCAGTCAGATTCCTTCCCCATCTTTCCACATTTATGAGCAGCTTGTTTTTTATCACAAGCCAAAGTAAACATCGGATCTTTTCAGCCACACGAACCTTCCATACAAGCTCCTGTCATCAGTATCCTGTGACAAAAACATAGAATTATAGGCCGATTTTACAGAAAACTCACATGTTGCAGACAGCCTCCAATAATTGCTACCGGGATAATCATTTGCCACAAGAATAGGCATCGCTCTCACATCCTCAACCACTTCTTCTGGAAGTATTGTATCAAGTTTAGCAATATTTCATTCCTTGTTACTCATTAGTAAGTCCGCCACTCTGACTTATCCTGCAGTTGCCACTAATGGGGATCCAACTTCCTCATAAAAGAGGCTTATCCCAAACCCAAGGATCGTAGCAGAATGATGTATTCTCACCGTTTACGACCTGCCATCCCAGCCCATTCTGAATGATATCCCTGCTATTCAAGATATCCCGCCATGTGTGAGAGGTTCGTGATTTTTCGTAAATTCCAAAAATGAAGAGTTTCTGATATATTTCACCTTAAAAACTTTCACCAAGGTTTCGGAGTATCCATCGTGATGTCTCAACCCAATTTAGACATTAAGGCCATGTTATCATACCGAGCTTTCCGAATGCCCAAACCACCTTTTTCCTTTGGTTTGCAAACTTCATCCCAATTGATTAGATGAATTTCACTTCTGTCTCCCTTATAACCCCAAAGAAAGTTTCTATTGATTTCGTCGATGCTATCGCATATACTTATGGGAATCAAAGAGCTTTGCATAACATATTGGGGTATATCTGTGATCACGGATTGAACCAGTGTCTTTCGGCCAACCATATTTAATACATTTTCTTTCCAAGAAGCAAATCTTCATTTGTTTCACCCGGTCAAGAATAAAAGCAAACTTGTCTTTAGACTTGCGCCCATCAATGATAGGGGCACCTAAATATTTACCTAGATCCGTAGTAGGCTTAATACCATAGAGATTCTGAAGGCTGCTTCTAGTACCCCATCAATATTAGGCGAAAGGTACACCCTTGATTCTAAGGCATATTATCATTAGAAGTTTATAATTGCTATTTTTTTTTTGAAACTAAATAAATACCTTCTCATTAATTAATAAGATTATTCTCAATCTCGTTTACAAGGCAAACTGGAATAAAGCTGTTGCAACAACTAGGATTTGGCTGAATAACGCTAGCCCTTACAAGTGCATGGGCAAAACGTTTAGCAGATTTTATACAATAATTTAGAGAAATTGATGTATTCTCTTTTAATAATTGCCTAAGATCATTCACTCATATGTCAAAATAGGACCTACCCCACTCCCTATTTACCGCTTGAACGGTCGTGAAAGCATCTGACTCGATGTCCACGTGCCTCCACCCTCCTTGGACTGTCCAAATTATTTCCACTCTAACTCCCTTTGCTTCCATTTCTTCTGGTGACAGATCTACCGGGTAGAAGGTACACTTCGCATTTATAATCACTCCTTGTGGATCCCGAGCAATACGGCCCCATGCTCGCCTGCCTCCCTCCCTGTAATAAAAATGTAAACATAAATAAAAGACAAAAAATTCAAAAAAAAAATACTACCTACTCCATAGTAAATAAACAATAAATAAATAAATAAATAAAATAATGATAAGAAGTTATGCAGGAGCTTGTCGTCTCTTAACACTGCCACCTGCAGGTCGCGACCACCACAACAATGACGTCTTGTGTAAATATGTTGTATTTTTCTACAATAAAGATTGCATCATTACCCTTTCAAAATGTCAAGTTTTACTCTTGCTATTAAGGTGACATTATTTATTTTAACAGGTTGACATTTTCCTGGATGGTCAGAGGTGGCGTTGTTGGAATTGGTTGAGAAGGTGGCAGATGCCTACGTATTTGTGTGTGTATTATTTTCTTATGCTTTCTATGATTATAAATAAAAAGTCAATCCCCTTGTAATAAATTATTTATTACAATAGTTCTCGCAAAAAATCATATTTGCTACAATATGGTTTGACACAATATTTAAGAAAAAATGATAGAAATAAGTAATGAATAATGTACAAAAAGTATGAGATAATGAAAAAGTATGAAAGAACAGTTAAAAGATAGAAAATAAGGGTAATTGAATTTTTTTAAATGAAAAAATTATCAAACAAGGACATGTAGTAAAAATTAAAATATACTTAAAAAAAAACAATGTACGGAGTAGCAAATATCAATGATATGGTAGGAAGAATTACATTTCAGTCTTAGCGTTGGAATACATTTCAGGTAGGATGGAAAGGAGATGGTCGGTTGCCATGAAGAGAATGTTTGCAATTGCTTCAACTTTAAAAAAATGATTTTTTAAAGTGATTTTGGGAAAAGTGATTAATAGTAAAAGTTGGTAGTGTTTGAGAAAAAAGTGACTCTGAAAAAGTAAAAGTTGGTAATGTTTGGTAAAATAAGTACTTTTTGTGTAATAGAAAAAGTGAAAAGCAGTTTAAAGCACCCTTCCACCTGCTTCCAGCTTTTAGCTTTTAAGTGATTAATTTAAGCAGAAGCTGTCATTTGAAAACACTCTTTTTAGCTTTTTTTTAAGCCAAAAGCTGAAAAACGCTTTTTTAAGCAACCGCAAACACTGCTTAAGGAAATTTCTCAGATCTCGATTAGGAAACAACTGGTTTTTGGACATGTGAAAGGGAAGGAAATTGGGTTGCGCATCACTTGGCCCAAATTAAAGTGGATCAGCTAATATCTTATTCTAGCATTAATCAGCTTCCTATCTTTGTTAAAAGAGCCTATTCGATGGATTATTTTGGCATCCCCTCTTTTAGATTTTAACTGTTGATTCTCTTGGAGGGGTTTTGGCCTTGTCCCCCTCTCCTTGTTGTACTCTTTAAATATTTCAATAAAACATGTCAAATGTCGGGGGACATTTACCCCACTGATTTTGATGGTTTACCTTCCGGGGGTAAAAAAAAGTATGAAGAATTACTGTTAATTGGGCAAAAACAGTGCGAGTATTTTTTTTTTTGGCAAAAACAGTGGGAGTATATAATTACTCGGTATTAAATTTCCGGCGGTGGGAGAGAATGGCGTTTCCAAATTGGGCAAACGAATGGGAGCTCGTCACTGAAGATGGTGGCTCATTGGTCTACAAACGTCCAAAACGCTCCCGCATCGACTCCCAAATTACCGCCTCGCGTCATGACGGCGGGTCTCCGGACAAGATTCTCCAGGCACGGAAGAGGGCCGCCCTCCTCAATCTCAAACACAAGTACGCAGCAGAGATCCAACTCTGGGAGAATTTGTCGAACACCTTGAAGGCGACTCAAGACAAACCCTACATCCAGCTTTCCGCATCATCGTCAAACCACGTCGCCGGTGCCCCAGCACCGCCGGCGCACTCGGAGGACAACTCCCCCCACCCGTATATAGATGAGTTCCTCTCTCAGGTAATTCCTACAATCACCTTCAATCTGGCATGCCTGTGTAGTTGCATCTGAAGTTCTTACTTTCGATTTGGTTTCTGCAGGCTGAAATCCAAGGAGCCATGATTGCCGATATTTCAAAACGCTGCGATGCTGCTGTAGCCTGGTGCAGTGCTCAAGAAGAAAGGCTTAAGAAACCATTCATGGACCTCCCAATTTGGGAACCGTCGCCACACAAGCTAATTTATTCTCTGTGCCAAGAGTGAGCTCATTTCTGGAGTTTTTTTCTTTCAATTAACCAAAATTGTCGTGGATTTTCTTAGTTTCCATTTCAACTGCTGCTAGAATTTGGCCTGCACGTTTTGTGTTTCTAGTTTGATCAGTGTAAATGTATTTTCTTAGGACGATGGGACTGAGTGGTTCTGTTATAGAACTGATTGCAAACAAATGTGTGTTTCTTTGGTTGATTCTTTCTTAGGACGTTTTGGGTTAGGATTCTTTCAACTCAAGTTTTAGTGGTGACCATAGTCATGTTCTGCGACATCATTTATCATCTGGGATACATTGCTTTGAGTACATTACTGTTAATGACATGAATATATTGAAGGGACTGTGCTTGCTAGGTGATACTGTATTTTACAGGCCTTGAACTACTCCTAAATGCCATTTCTTTTGGCATTTGTAATCCCAATTCTCTGTCGTGTACTTGTGTCCATGTGCCTAAAGGTGATTTTGAGGCTGCAATCACAGCAAATGCATTTTCTTTCATTTCATCAAGATTACAAAGATTCATCTGCTTCGGACTTGACTATTCTTAAGGTGGTGATAAACTTGATACTTTAATATAAAGGGAAATTAAAAAATAGGAGTAAAAACGTTTTGAAGTTTCACTGTGAATGCTAAATTCTAGTTTCCTAAATATGAGGAATTACTCTAAACTTGTGTTTTGATGGCAGCATTGTTGATCTCCCAAAAGAAGTCACAGGTTCGAGTCTTATCCCAAACAAGGATGATGACATTAACATGAACATATATTATAATAGGCTTAGAAGAATATTCAAAATAAAAATATTGCTAAACCTGGGACATGTTTAAAACTTGGTAATGTCAAAACATGATATTGATTAGTCATATTTAGAAAATAGGGAAAAGGGGCAAATAAGCCCTCGAACTAATCAAAAAAGTGCAAATAAGCCCTTTTGTAGGAGGTTCCGTCCGGTCATCGTCATTTGGGGAGGTTCACGGTGGAATTTTTTGATGAAAATTTTTGAGCATCTTATTCATTAAGTCTAGTTTAGTCCTACTGAATTTCAGCTAAAAATTCAACCGGGAAGACAGTCAAATGAATTTTTGAAGATTACTGCACAGTTAAACAACACAGTATTTTTCCGAAAATCATTTGAGTGCCTTCCCGGTTGAATTTTTAGCTGAAATTCGGTATGGCTAAACTAGACTTAATGAAGAAGATGCTCAAAAAAATTCATCAAAAAATTCCACCGAGAACCTCCCCAAATGACGATGATCGGACAAAACCTCCTACAAAAGGGCTTATTTGCACTTTTTTTATTAGTTCGAGGGCTTATTTGCCCCTTTTCCCTAGAAAATAAAAATATACTAGTCCTATTTTGAAATTTATCTCAAACGCTTTTACTCCTATTTAGGATAATTATAAATAATAATCTTTATAAAACCCTTGCAATTCGCCACAGGCGTGAGTTTTGTTTGTTCCATTTAATTTCATCTTTCAAATCAAACAATGGCTTGTTTGGTTTATTTTATATTGATTTGGTTTGGTTTTGTATAGAAAAAACATGAAATAATGACAAAATAATAGTACTTATTATTATGACGGTAGGATTTCGCGCTGACGCCATAAGATGGGCTCGAGTGGACATGATACACCTCGGCTCAATTAATGTTTCTATACTTAGTCACTTCCCGGGCATTTCATGCATCTGCACATCAGGGGATTACATCATTGTCATCATTGTCGCTATTGGTCACTTCAGGATAGATCCTGAAGGACTACATCACTATAGAGTTTCCCATGGTTGACGTCACCCCACATCAGCGTGACACCAATGGGTGTGTTCCGCAACTATTCAAGAGGCATTTGTCATTTCCATATTAACCAACATTTTGGGCTAAAGGCTTAAGCCGTGTACTTCTGCATATAATTATACCTAGCACCTTCCCCATTTGAGAAAGAGATCCGAAATTTTATGCACTGTTGTTATGCCAAATTTATTATACAAAGTTCTCACTCTGGATTTGCTCCTATTACTCTCTAGATATTCACTATCCTCGATTTCTATGACCCATTAATTATATATAATAAACAAAATAAATAAATAATTTATATAGACTAATATTCCCTTGTAATGGATGAACTGCAATATATTAATATAGTGTAGAAAAGTTGTTTATTAAAGAATTGTATCCACACTTTAGTAGTAAACAATATATTCCCTTGTTCATTCATATAGGCCTTTAATAGTAAACCTAAATCTGTATTCATAAGAAGGTAAGAATGTATCCAAACTTTATATTTGATGTATGATACGATACCTCGCACCTTAACATGTGACTAAGATATGTCATGCGAGATCGACTTAGATGTTGAATGGCAACGTGAACAAGATTTTTTATAATTCATATTGTTATGATATGACATAGGGCGAGCTGAGCTTATGTATGTATGGAGGGAAAAGTGACCAATTCAAGTTTAATTATTCCCAGTTCTGATCTTTTGGGGTATCCGATGAAGCTAAGCCAACTCCATCTATTTCTAAAACTATATATATCCTTGATACTTGGTATTTATCAATTTAAATTATTAGTCCCTATCTAGCTTTTCCTAAGTCAATCCGGCCAGAATCAGATGCCAAAGCAAACACCCACACTTTGGCCGGGCAAATCACAAATGTAAGTTGCTGCAGTTTGCTTTCTTCTACGGTATTGATTCTTCGGTGGCTTTCTCGTTCTGATCTCCTTATGATAAAAAAAGATGCCCGGCCATTTACACACTTGTTGCTCATGCACTAATTAAAGTACGTTTTCTTTTTGCTACCTTCTATATATACATATATAGAATTACTACAAAAGATTTTGAAAATTTGTTTTTTTTTTCAAACAATTACCCAAATATATTTATAATTTTGAATATAATGATCAGAACTTTCTTCTGGTTGGCATGTGAAATCCCTGATCGAAAAGCTTATATATGTATGTACTACCTCCGTCCCAAATTGTTTTGCAAAAGTCAACATTTTTTGGTCAACTAATGTTAAAGTTAAATCTCCCTTATTTATAATTAATTCAATTTTAATAATAAAAGTTTACATATTCAGAAACTACATTAAAATCGCTATAGAGTTGCAATATCTATATTACAACTTAATTAAGAATTGATGCCTTAATTAAGTGAATAAAATGAGTCTGTTTGACCCAAAACAGAGTATTAATCGAATTTTTTTTTATCTTTTATGATGTTTTTACTTGGATTTAAATTTGCTGATATGATCTAGTCTGAACTAGTCTTGTTTGGCCTGATAAATGTCTAGCATCTGTGTATTTTATAATTATGGAGGTCTGACATGATTTGATCTAGTCTGAACTGTGTAAAATCTGATTTGATTTGAGACCGAAAACCATCTAAGTAGCGCATATCACAAGATTGCATTTTGCATTATTACTTGTTACGCCGAATTGTTACTCAGGACTTTAGGAGTTAGGAGTCTTATTAGGACCAAAGAAAACAGGAGAACTATTTTTCTTTGACAGTCACAGTAGAACTAAATTAGTTACTCCGTATTTTTTTGGGCTTTTCATCAGTGATTGAAAACATAATCCGCAATTCCGTAGTGCGTACATTCCAGTTTCCAACTGTAAAAGAATAAGACACATTTTTTATGAAGAATAAAAATCCAAAACAAGACGGGAACACATTTTAATTTTTAGGATTTAATAAAAGAAAAATGTTTTTTGATGTACACTTTTCATACACTCGTTTGTCTCACATACACAAAATTGTCTGTTCACAGACAACTTTACAGAGTTATCTGTATACAAATAATTCTACAGACGTGAGACAGAAGAGTCTATGTACACCAAAATGTCTACACATATCACAATCGTTAATAAAAATGTTTCAAAATGGAGTAAATCAATTGGTAACATTGGATCCTCATTAGGCGGCCCCCCCAACGAGTTATCCTGTAAGGAAGGGTAACACTCCGTAGCTGCACACAAATGCTTATCTGGAAGAATTTGTGATAAATGTGCCCATTAAAGGTTACCCATTTGACCATTTCAGGGACTGGAAAATTTTAGAAAAAGTTTATTTGGATTTGAATATAGCTGGATTATTTACCAAAAAGTTTTTCAACTTTGGATTTTCCTACTGCTGTTGTATATGTTCATTAAACTTTTGGACGTAAATGCACATCTCTAAAAATTCCTCAGTATCCAACCTTATACTCCATATGAAGTTAGCGATAAGTGATAAAATGAACCACCAGTAATGGTAATTCATCTTAAAAAGCATAGCTAAATCCCTAAAACTTGTGATTTGCCCTCACATAACAAAATCTTCAATCGAATGGGTTTTTTGGAGTTTATCCCTAAAAGCATATCTTTAAAAAGATCTTTCAATTGAAGTTTATTTGGTTGCTTAACACCCATATTTCGCTAAATGGTGTCATACTTGAAGTCTATAATTTCAAAACATAACACTTATAACAAAACTTGATAATCCTATTTAAGACAATTTCTCTAAAGTTTATAGAATATTCTAGATTAGTAAAAAAGATTAATGTTGTAAATGTATTTGTAAGAACCCCAAAGATAATCTATTTTCTCCATTTTGGTCATGAACTCTCAGTTAGTAAATAAATCTTGCAAAACAAAAAATAATGCTTATTATCATCAATAAAAAAACATGAAGAAAAACAACTATCATAAATTCATAACGATGCTACAGAGTATTATATATTGTATTACACACACTAATAGTAACTATCATACCACTCAATAAATAAAATGCTACAACATGACAAAACCGAACAGAGAAAAGGTAACAAGAGAGGAGGAAGGAGGGGCTCGGAATTAATTAAGGAACTAACAACTCTGCTAATTGTTTACTAACTGATTCAATTGGCTCGCTCGCTCCACGTGGCGTATGAACACGGATTCCAGTTCTGGCGGAACAAAGAACTCCTTCGCGCCGTTAAAACGGCAGGCAGCCGCCGGCCGCGGCTTCCTTGGCGCCGGCGGACACGGCAGCCTCTCCGGGATCCTAGACCCTCTGGACGTCGGAGTCGTTGAGCGTTCCTCGTCGGACCGGCGGCAATCGCTTCCCTCTTTCGGCTTCGACTTCGGAGGACAACAAATTGAGACTTCCGAGAATACCCATTGCTTGCCTCTCTCCATTTCTTCTGTAATTTCCGATCTGCTTCTCTGAGAGCCGAGTACAGAGTATATATCCTTGGGGTGTTAAACGAAAAGCAGAAACTTTCTCAAAGAGAAGAACCAATTCAAAGCACAGTTATTGGAGGAAAAAGGGCCAGAAAAAGATGGGTATTTTGTAGCTGGAGGAATAAACCAAAAGCAAGGCGAATCTGCGAGAAGTTGCGTCGTGTTTGTTTCTCCTC